TACGTATTTTCAATTTTTTAAATCATTTTTTCCTTTCAGTCCCATCATTAGGCTACTTGATTTGCGGTGCCCTAGGTGATCAAGCACTCTTGAACTGTATTTATATACTATACTATATTACTACAGTATTTGTGAAGACTGATTTTGTTAAAATATTTAATTTATCACAGTGTTATATATGAATATTTTATTTGTTGTTCTCAAATAGTGTATGAGCTACTTGGTGTGCTTTTGAAAAATCATTTATTAAATTTTGTTCAACTTGTTCAGCCTTTTTGCTGCCACTAGTTTCTATGGAATTCATAAATCAAATTACTTTAATAATTTAGTAATTATACAAAAGAATGAATGGGATAATGAATGAATCAAAGAAGTTACCTATTTTACTAAACCAAAGAGTAAAATGGATTTCTTTGAAGCACCTCTGGCTGCCAATGCACAAATAGTACATACACACCAAATATAATTACTGAAATCACAAAGAGAACAATTTTTTACTCTTCCGGAAACCAAATCTAAAAGTTCCTGTTCACCAAATGGATGCTCTTACCATCTGAGCTATGAGACAAATATAATAATCATTTTTATATTTGTTTATTTTATAATCATGAAAGAAAACTCACCTCTGGAAAGCTTTCAAATCTGGGAAACTCACAGAGGCAGCAGAAAAGTTGCATTGATATACTTGATGAAATTATTAGAAGGCACATTGTGAATATAATTAGGCTTCCCAATTTTTTACCAGGACCAAAAATTTTGTACACAAAATCCTCTAACATAGGTGAAGCTTTAATGAGACGAACTATTCGAAGAACCTGTAATATTCAATACATGAAAAAGCATATCTATAGATGCTCAAAGTGATATTATGGTCTTTATGATTAGTATCAAACCTGAAAATATGTGAGTCCAGAAAGATAAAATTGAGGTATTATATGAAGAGTTGTTCCAATTGCCAGGAGTAACTCAAATTTATGAATTGAATGCTTATAATATCCTCGGAAACCAAGACACCAAATTTTAAAAAGTGTCTCCAAATCTAAAAATATTGTAAATGCCACCTGAAATGAATTTTTTTTTTAAAGTTATATTTATGAAAATTTTAAAGTAGGAAAGACATTTATAACTTCAATCATTTATTTTAAGAACAACTATCATTAATTATAATAAAAAATCATTGGCAATAAACAATTTTCTGTACCAAAATGTCAGTTGCAGTTTAAGAGCAATTTTGTAAGCAGCATGCTTTATTTTTCTACCATGCAAAATATGTGATAAATAACCTAGGAAATGGAGGCTCTACAGGCTATACCAGACATTTGAAAGAGCTGCGTAAATGAAAACTGAAGGATCATACTTCATGAGAAAGGCACAATAAGGAAAGCCATGAATAAAACAGAAGTTGAAGAAACCGCTACCGCGGTAGAGAGAAAGTTATGTAATTTTGCACAAAAAACAGCGAATTTTCAACAGGAAAACTCTTATTACAGGGCCTGGTAACAAAAATATGGATAAACCCATTTGCAAAATTTAGGGGGGAAATCCTCTAACATATGGTGTAGACAGAATCCATGTTTTATGGGTCCTTGATACCACAAAATCGATTGAAGCAAAACATCTGCCTGTGAACAACGCTAGTGACTTCACCGAGTTTCTCCAAAATCTATAATCCTCAAACAACTTGCCTGATGTTGCGGTTCATTGAATTTGAAACCGATATTTTAATTTTGGGGGGTGCTTTCCATGAAACCCCTGGGACATAGTCAAAATTTTCAGAAAAAGGCCCCAATGTTTTTTATTAAACTTTGTTTAAACTTTGTGAAGGACGTTTTTGGTTAGGTATGTTTTTGATTAAACTGTATGAAGGACGTTTCAGAGTATGGTGCAGGATTCATGTTCGTTAGAAACCAAGAATTTTCGAAAATTGCGAATATTCAATTTTTTTCAGCGATTTTCTCAAATTACAATTATGAAGATAAACAGTTTTTCATATCGAAGTGTGTTCACGACAATCTAAAAGTAGTGTCATGTTCATTTTATCTACAACAAGTATTTTTTCCTAAAATGTGTATCAAACAGGCACAAATAAAGTCATGTTTTTTGTTTTTTTTTTGAAAATTAAATTGAATTTTGAATATTTTTTATGTAATTTGGCAAACATAATCACCTGCTTCACATTTACTACGCTTCATGGACGAAATTGCAAGCAGTTGGATGCTTCGTAAGTTAGAATTTGTATATTAATTCATATTTCTTCCTTTCTTATATTCCATCTTTTATTATTCATTTACACATTCATCATTTAGAAATTATTTAAAACCTGTTTGAAATATATGAAAGAAAAATTGCTAGCCTTCAGGAAATATCAGATTGGAATACAATGACATTCTGCGCCACGAATTGGCAGCAGAATTTCAGTGAATTACGTCTCATTGTTGGGACATGACGGTGCTCTATGAAAGACAGTTATAATTGTCAAATTTGTGTTTATATTTGCTATTTTTCACCAAACTTTGTACGATTTGTAATGGTTTTTACAAAAGATGATCACAGATGTGTTAATTAGGGGAGAAATTGTGGCCTATAAATAGTATTACATAAGAATTAGTATAACTAAAGGCGAGAAAGTAAGTGCTATATTAGCACCACTTGTTTTCATTTAAGTAACAAACAAATATTCAGTATGCATTTGTACAGAATCTTTTATTTTAACTCGGGTTATATTTGCATAGAAACTTTGTCAATAATTTAATAACCTGGACCTTCCTTTTCTCACTGCGGTAATAGTGGTATGCTTTTGAATCGAGCTCTGAAGATGAATACAAGGGATGTTCCTGACCTGCATTTTAATTCTATGACTTTAAGGGTTAACAATTGTGAACATAAAAATCTCTAAAAAGTTTTTTTGGAAGGGAGTATTTCGAGGCCGGGAATTATTGTGCACCAGTGCAGTCCAACAACCGAGCTTCAGTTTTCTCAGATTATCGTCTTGCTCGCAAAGATGTCTTCTCAAAATTTCGAGCACTCTGGTTGATGGTTGGACCAGAGAGTATATTATATGGGTTAGACTCTGTAGCCGAGAGCCCAATTTCTTTGCCCTGACAATCGGTTTGACAAATTGGTCCCTTGTAGAGGTCCTTAACGACGATATATTTATCAATAATTTTATTTGTGTAATTTTTTAAAAAACAAAAGAATAAATTAAAGTAACTTTAATAGCAGGGTCTACAGCGCACTATGGATAGTGTGCATTGTAAACGTACAAAAAATTTGAAGAAAAAATTTGGAGTCGATTTTTGATTCGAGAAAATGTTGTTTGAGCGTTTCTGAAAATGAATGAATTTGAGCTCATTTTCACTGAAAACTTTTGATTTTGAAAAATGTATAAGACATCATTTGAAGCATTAGTATTCACAAATGTAATAATGTATAATACGAATCACGTGTGTGTGTGTGTAAGTATAGTGTAAGTATTAACGACGAAGAGAGATGTAAAAAATTGTACATTCGTGTAATTTTTTTAAGAAAAATGCTTAAGGAAAATTTACCTAAGCAAAATGGCTTTTATGTCATTTAATACATGCATTTAGAACTTCCTATACAAATAGTTTAAAGAAAAAAAACTGATACTGTTTTTGAGAAATTCTTATTTTTAATATTGACCATGTTACACTCAAAATTAGAAGAAAACTGCTCAGGTTTTCAGAAAAATGGGTATGACAATAATTAAAAAACTGATTATGAGAACAAATTTCATTTGAAGAAAAAACAGTTTTCAATATTGTAATTGTAGGAAGACACCGGAAAATTTCCAAACTTTCGTAATTTTTGATAATTTAGAGTTAACTGGAAATCGGACCTATGCCATCTTTATAAATGTATTTTGCTCTATTCTTAGAATAAATTTAAAAAGGTTTGGAGCTGTTTTTGAGAAAATGTTGAAAATGTCCCAGGGGCTTCATAGAATGTACTCCCAAATTTGAAGAATATTTCTGAAAATCGCAAAGTTTTGAGGTGGACCAGATCGACCTGGAAGTATTCATTTTTTTCAAATCCGAGATAGTACGTTATTAAAGTTGTGTTAGTTACACCATTTATAGCTCAAAAATGGCTGAACCAATTTTAATTATCAATGATTTGTACAATTAATCTCCGCCCGGAATAGCAGAAAACTACTAAAATTAACGGAAAAATTCCTGAAGAGAGAGAGAGGGGGGGAGAGGGAGAGAGAGACATAGAGAGAGAGAGAGAGAGAGAGAGAGAGAGAAAGAAAAGAGATTGAGAGAGAGAAAGAGAGAGAAGGAGAGAGATTGAGAGAGAGAGAAAGAGAGATTGAGAGAGAAAGAGAGAGATTGAAAGAAAGAGAGAGAGAAAGAGAGAGATTGAAAGAGAGAGAGAAAGTGAGAGATTGAGAGAAAGAAAGAGAGAGAGGAAGAAAGAGAGAGAAGGAGAGAGAGAGAGTGTGTGTGAGTGAGTGAGTGAGTGTGTGGGCGCGTGCATGTGTGCAGGTGGTGTAAAGTACTATAATTTCCTGTCAAAAAATACATTCATGAAACTATATAAGTATTTATATCCGAGTTCTGCTTTTGTAGGTACAATGGAGAATACTTACTTCAATATAGTAATAATCTTCATAAAATACAGATCGTGGTCGGGAATCATGTTTAAAATGCATGGTAGCAGTAGCAATTCCATTTGCTAAAATAACTCCCATTACGAGAAGGCGGAAAGAGGCAGAACGCAGAATCACATGACAAAATTGTGGTGCTAAACCTCCATGTTTATTTTCATCAAGTGTTACAAGTTTCCATCCCATGTCATTACCAGTAAGAATCTGGAAATGCAAGTGTTAATATGTTTATTGAATTTTTGTTGTGTATATAGACACAAATGACACGTGTACCAAATTTACATGTATGGTAGGTATTGAGTGATTAAAAGCAAAACTCACAAATTAAAAGAAATATACAGAAGAAATATTTGATAGAAGAGATAATTAAGTTCTTCAAGAAAACAATGATTGTGTTAATTGACATTGCTTTCCTCTTGTAGTATTATTAAATCCAAATATTTTAAAGAAAAAATTTCATAAATACCTGTGATGCTGAATTATTAGTTATGTGGCCTCTTACTCCCCACATTTGCTGAAACTGCACCCTAATTTCATTAAAAGTTTCTGTTATAACAGCAATGAAAACATTCTTAACCAGCCATGCCAAAAAAAATATCATTGTACTAAAATAAAATGCAGCCCGCCAACCAGGAAGACTGTCTATGGCACGATACATGATAAAAACCCAGCCTTCTTGAGATGCTGCTTGATACACTGTAAATATACTAGTTGCTGAAAAATATAAAGTTATGAATTATTATGGTTGTTCATCTAACTGAAATTCCGTTGCTAGATACATAGAAACAAAGTTATAACTAGTAGGATTAAATAAATATATTTACCTACCAAATTCATCAAAACCATTAAATCCCATTTTATAACGTGAAAAGTTCAGCTTTCTACATTCCATTCCACTAGGACACTGGTAACCTGAATTATTATCAACTGAACAGAATGTGTCAGGAATTGCCAAACTATTAATTGTGACATTTCTGGAAACAGATTAAAAAATATGTAGCACTTTTCTATTATTTTAAACTTATTTTCAATAAGCAGATCATAAATTGTTAAGTTTCATTATAAGTACCTTGTTGTGTTCAAAACACAATGATTTTTCAATTCTCCAAAAAATTGAACACCCAATAATCCATATAATGACATGAAAAATAGGAAGAACAATGTTACATTGTAAATTTGTTGGCTTGAACGTCTAGAAAAGAACAACAATAATTGAATTGTAATGTGCACATAAAACCTGTTCAGTTACTTGTTATCTTGTACATGTATTGGCAAAGTCACTTACTTGAAAATTTGATTTATTCTTGATTTTGGCATTGAAAATTTTAGAAAAACACGAATAAATCGAATCATGATGAGGGGTCTGGGGGCTCGCAGAATTGAAAGATATGTGAATCGGGGAACAATACTCAATATTTCAAACATTTGAAGGATGACAGAAATCCATAAAAAGAACACCATGCTCGCATCGAACTGGCACCAATGATCTTTGAGGTATGGAACTTCACCCTTTAAAAAATACAATATTGAGGCAATAACAATAATTCTTAAAACTAAAAATATTATTGTATTAAATAAGTAAAGGAGTGATAACATGTGATGACATTTAGAGCCATTTCCAGATCAGTAACGAGAGCATTAAATGACATTGAGAAGCCAGTACTGTGTTAATGCATGGGCCCAAAGGGCCTGGGCCCAGGCCCTCCAATGTTCAAGAGCTTTAAATAGTTCTTAAAAAAATTATTTAATACTATTTGTTTTTAAGTAAAATAAAAACTCTATAAAAAAATGATGTATGATTAAACTATATCTAAAAAATTAACATAATGGAGTGATGTGGGATAATATTTATAATATGTAATATTGCTAGTTGATGCAAGAATGACACTCAGTGATGAGAGGGGGAGTTTGGTGAAAGTAAGAATAGAGAGCCCCTAAATTAACATAGGCCCTGGGGCCCCTAAAGCTATTAAAATGACTTTGTGAGAAGCACTGTGTAGCACTTCGAGCATTATGTGTTGTGTTTTTGAAACACTAATCAATTCTTAACTTACAGGAATAATTTAAATATTCAATGGTGTAATACCTATAAATGATTTAGATTTATTTAGTAAAAAAAAATTTATATAAAATAAAATAAAATAAAAAGTGTATATGACATATGGGGGAGAAGATTAACTGTTCATGTTTTCTTGAGCCATCATTTTGATTATAAATAGTTGAAAGATGAGTGAAAGTTAAAAATAAATAAATAAAAATAAATTTTAAAAAAGAATAAGAAGCAAAATTTGAAAAGAATAGATATTTTCATTTCCAAGTTATAGAAAACTTATTTGCATTGGTAAACGAAGTATGATTTTTCTGCATTGCTAACAAATGATGAAAAATTATGGAGATAAAATCAATTAACTATTATTATTTTTACTTATTATTATTTTATTTAATTTAGTTTAAATTATTTTATTATTAAATTATTTTATTTTCATCAGAAACAATCTACATCTTTACAAGCAGCATTATTTGAGCTGCAGGCAAACATCATGCATTTTAATGCTCATAATAATTATAATAATAATAAAGAGTGATTAGTCCACTTTTTTTATTTCTATGAACGTACCTTCAAAATTCCACGAATATGCATTTTTGCAATCATTTCTGCTGTGAAAAGAAAAGTTACCACTAGGTCACAACAGAAGGTTGCATATTGAAGAGGTGGATGTTTTTCAAATGTTTTGGATGTGTTCAAGCTCACTGAAAGAAGACTGAGGAGAGCACAGAATCTCATTAGACGACGGACCCAAAGCTAGAAGAGAATAAAATGAGATAAAATATTACAACTCAATAGGACACTTCAAACCAATCATTTTGAAACATTTGGAATTTTATTAGTTGTTTTACCATGTTCACCCATTCAATGTCAGCACTTTCATTAAGAGATTCTTCAGGTCCATAATCTGCCAGAACTGGCTCCCCTTTCAAACTTTGTTTCCTTCCGAGCATCATTGTAGCAACTTTCAATTCCTGAATAAAATAACAATCCAGAGAGTCATGCAAGTTACTTTATTTATTTCAAACATTATAGCAATTATGGTATTGCAAACTTGAAGGGCATACTCTGCAATTATAACTACTTAAAAGTGTAACTAGTTCTATAACTAGTAAAATGCAGCAATATAATGAACTACATTACTTTAACTCATCCAATTAATTGATACATAGTGTATAAATAAAACAAAAATGAATGTTTTGCCAGAAAATTAATGATGTTCTTGTGATCTACTAACATTTCAACTATATTGTTTTGTATTTCTGCAGACTGCATAAAATGTAGCAATGAGCAAGGCAGATTTGAATTCTCTTTAAGTAAAAAGGTTCTTTTCAATAAGATCAGAAGACAAAGGATTGACCATTGTTATTGAATAACTGAGGTAGGTACACAAATGTAATTCATAACAATAAAAGAAAACAATTAAAGCATCATGATGATAATAGATATATTTATTAGCATAATACTTGTTTTTAGCAAGTTTCTTATTACAGAATTATACAGCAACAAATTTTTACAGCAAGCACTATTTTAGCTGCAGGGAAGATATCATGCATTAGGAATAATACTACTATTATTTGCCGGGATTATTTTTAAGAGTGAGGCGGGTTGCATTTTCTACTTCTACTACGTTGGGTATACATATGATTACTTGGCAGTCAGAAACTTAGGCTGAGTTTGCACCTTACGAGATCCACAGAAAAATAAAATTGCTTTGTGTTGAATTCTATCCCTTTGAATGAAATGATCGGCACGTATATTCCCACGTTTCACAATTTCATGATTTTGACAGATCTTTCTTTCTCTCCTCCCACCCCCACCCCAATCCCGACCGGTCTAGATCCAGAGAATACAGAAGTGCACAGGAGGCTGTGGATGCTGCCCGGATATTTTGCGAGGGCGGCGAAAGCACCCTGATATAAATGCGCATGCGCTGTATGTAGCCTTAGCGGGCTGTAGAAAACAAAGTATTCTTCCAATCGTCATTTAAAGACTCCAAGGCCCTGGAAAGATCCGGATCATCAACGGAGAAATCTCACAACCTTTCTCCAGCAAGACTGCCACGGCAGACTGTCCGGCACGACGATGGCCTTTTCCCATTACTCTTCAACATCGTTTTAGACAAAGCTATCAAAGCATGGGAACAAGAATTGAAAAATCAAAATATATGAAGACCCATAAGGCCAGGAAATCTGAAACACTCTACGCCAGCGAGACCCTAAATCTTAATTACAAAGAAGACCTCGAGAATATCAAGAAGGCGGAAAGAAAAATAATCCGGAAGATCCTTGGTCCAAAACTCACAGACGAAGGATACCGTCTACAATCACACACTGTGACAGAAAAATACTCCAACGTCGAAACCGATTTCCGCAAACGACGGCTGAAATCCTATGGGCACATGAGACTAGATGTCAACCGATTAACAAAGAAAATTTTGACGTACTTTCAGACACTGAAAACGATTTCTGGGTAAAACATGCCCAAATTGATCTAAAAAATGCCAATATCTCACCGGGAGACAACGAAGATCGAAACATCTCCAGGGCCAAGATATATATCTGGGAAATTGTATCACAAGACAAACCAAAGATACCAAGAGGAAAATGGACAGATGAACGTCGAGCTAAGCATAGCGAGATGATGAAAAAATTCTGGAAAGAAAAAGAAAAATAACAGCAACAAGTCATGATTTGCTTTATGTAATCCTCTAAGGGTCTAAACAATTGTAAATAAACACAAACAAAATAACAACAACAACAAAATAATAATAATAATAATAATAATAATAATAATAATAATAATAATAATAATAATAATAATAATAATAATAAATACAACACGTGTATTATATTTTTTTCGAATATTTAATGAAGTTTTTTTCGGGCTGCGGGACCCCCCAAAAATTGATGGAGACCCCTCAGAAATAGCGTATTTTCCTTGTAGCTAAATACGGTTCTGGCTTCTTCCATGCTTAAATCCTAACCGAATGGTCTACTGACACGAATGTTCCATCTTGATACAAAGGTTGGTTGAGGACACATCCGACATTATATTATCCGCTATAATACATATGGTAGGTACTACTTCGAAAACAGGGAATTCGAGTTCGTTCCCATCTCGATGGCTTCCGTGGATTTTGATTGATTACACCGATCTACAACCAAAAAGCTGTTTTCATAATTTTGTCCGATTCATGTTTTTGAGTGCGCTAAATTCGAAAATTTTCACAAAAGTTTTGTGAATGTACGTGTTCTAGGAACTTTATAAGACATAATTTCAACCGAATGTACTAGTAAATACTCATGTGAACAAATCGTCGTTAATGTAAATATTAACGACGTGAGAGGCTAGTCAAATAAATAACATTTGTGTAGTTTAAAAACAAAAACGAAAGAATAGAAAAAATGACGTTTATGCAATTTCCAACGAGCCAGAATATACTAGATAGAGTGGCTGTCCCTATAGTTTCAGCAATCTTGGTGCAGGGTCGCCGACCTAGTAGAGGTCGCCATGTTTTTTGGAGTCAAAAGATACGAGTGGCAGAGAAACCGTCCGTAATCAGGGCCAAACTTAATGCTATTCTGTGATTCTCGCAACTCTGCCCTTGGTAGGTAACAGCTGTTGACAGTTTCATTTAATAGAGAGCTTAAACGAAGTGACGTCACTATTGTGACATTCATACTCCCGATTGGATGAAATAGTGAACAGCTGGGACCAGGGGTAGAGTTACATAAATCGCAGTATACAATACTTTGTTTCGCAGAGGGCCAAATTTTTTCCAATGGCTTTGCAGAGGGCTTTGCTTTGACTGCAAAAAATATGACTTCAATTTATTTCAAAGATGGAGGCGTTTCAGCCACTCTATGTAGTGTATTCTGGCTCGTTGGAAATGGCATAAACGTCATTTTTTCTCTCATTGATTTCATCTCTCATTTCGCTCATTGATTATTTCATTGAGTACAATTGGCACTATCTGCACCAAAAGTTTGCAGAAAAACTTTGGGAACGTTTTTGAGGAAATCTTGTTTTTATTATTTTTTAAATTACACATATTGCAGGCAATATTGCGCGAAAACTACTAGAAATTTCAAACCATATACAGGACCTTATTGAAAGAACTAAATATCGAGAACAAATTTCATTTCAAGGAAAAATCTCTACCTTCAAATTTGTTGTTGTAGGAAGTCGCCTAAAAAATCAAACTTTCGCAATAAGACCTATGCCAATCTGGGTTTCTTCAATTTGGAAATAATCCTACGCATGGTTTAGACGCTAGTCTTGTACCATACACCAAACTTGTACTGTAGTTTTGTACTGTATACACCAAACAGACGTACGGACGATTTGCGGTCAATAGATTTTTCGGTATCAAGTACTCACAAAACATGGTTCTTGACTGACCACTTTTTTTTGCTAAATTTAGCAACTTGATTCATCCACTTTTTCTTTACCAGAGCACGGATATATGAGTTTTTCTGCAGAAAATTTGCCGTTTTCTCGAGCATCATTTGAGAAACCCCTGAGAAACATCTGCATAAGCGGCAGCGAGAAAGTAAAAGGAGATTGAAGTAACGCCTAATCAAATGTCCACAGACTTTTGAATCATACGTTGTACGTGTACGCGTGTTGAAGAAAGCCGAAATATACTTCGGGTTTTATCATTTCAGCGTGTCTTGGCCTGTCTTCACAATAGAATATCTCACGGTATTGCGCGTCTATCTCGATCTTGCTGCTAGATGTCGCATGATCGCCACCGTTTCAAGCAGTGCGATCATGGGGGAATATGTTGTGTTAATCTATGGTGCGATGACTATCTAGAGGCACGACCGAGAAAGACAAGTAAATGTGAGATATTCCATCTTGAAAATGGACCCTGATGCGCTACGTTATAATAGCTGAAGTACATACTGCGATTTAACCAACTCTGCCCCTGGCAGGTATCAGCTGTTGAGTTTCATCCAATCGGGGCGTAATGTCACCATAGTGACGTCACTGCAGCGACATATAAGCTCCCGATTGGATGAAACCGTGAACAGCTGCTTTACCTCAAGTACTTGGCTACATGAATCCTAGTCGATCCTAGTATAGCCTCCGTTGCTGTTGATCTGCTGTTGATCATGTTTCAGTAAATACGTAAATATTACCGGTGGTTCTGATAAAATGGCATCGTTTTGTAATGTATTGAAAAAATTCACAATTTTGGATTGGCACTCACTTGCAAATGTACATCGGCATGGTTAGTTGTGTTGAGGTATATTTTTTACTGAATAATGTTTCTCGCAATTATCGTTTTGTTTGAATTCAATCCAAGTACATTTAATATTTCTTAAGTGATTTTCAAAGACAAACTGGATCACTTGCTTATAACTCATGCACTCATCAGAACTAGAACGTGTTATACATTATCCAAGATTGTGATTCCTGTATACAAATTGTTACGCTGCTTTTTAATCTAGAAATAGTGTTATTTAACAATGAAGGGTATCGGTATTTTCAATTGTGAAGTTTGAGAAAAACAATAAAATTTTTTTGGTGTAGCAGTAAGTATTAACGTGCAAGATGATGCTATTATAACCCTATCAAGTAAAAAAGATGTTTGTTATTGAATTTTAAACATTATTGTACCCTTATTCTCTGAATGGGAAAAAAAGATTAATTAAGCTCAGATATCTGCATGTCTTTGGAAATTATTGAAATCGAAGATTATAAATCATTGTTTCAAGGAGGATGGTGTAGTACGAGAGTTGACCTTAGTTGGATTAAAGTTTTTTATTGTTAAAATTAATGGCTTTCTTCTTGCAGTTTACAATAATTTATAATTAATTTTTCAGACCTAATAAGATGGGCTTCGAAAAAAGCTGGTGGAAGCACTAGGAACAGGGTGTCACATGGTAGACCAAAACACCTTGGAATAAAACTTCACGATGGAGCATATGCCACTGCAGGGTCACGAATTGTTACTCAAATAAAACTTCGGTTTCACCCGGGACTGCATGTGAGATGATTTTTCTTTAGATTTTCAAGAAATTTTATGTTGTTGTTGTTATTATTATTATTATCATCATCGGTGAAATCCATAAGTGAATTTAATATAATGTTGATTTCATTACTGTAGGTAAGTGTTGGTGTAAATGATTTAGAAGGTTGTAGTTAAAATTTAAGACTGATAATTATTGGGACTTTGAGTAGACATTTTAATATTCTGCACCTCAGTTTAACTTTTTATGCTTTGGAAAAGAAATATTTCTAAAGTGACTTGTATTAAAACAGAGGTTCCCAAACTTGCAAACTTTTTAATTCTATGGATTGCTTCTCAAATCCAACCCAAAATGAACCCCCCTAATCCCTAGAAAGAAATAACTCAACTATATAGAGAATTAAATAGAAACCTGTGTTGATTAAAGGAATTCAAATCTGAGGCACTTTGAATGTCCATATTTTCCTCTATTTGTTGATTTATTAGAATTGTGATAATTAACTGGAACTAATTATCATATAAATGCTGATTCATTCAAATCATTTTATTCTGAATACATTGATAGAGAGCAACGATCAAAAAACATCCCGATTCATGACATTGATGAAAGCAAGCTTCTTCAAATCAACAACCGAATTACGGCAGAGAAAGGGTCTTGTCAATATTATCTGAAATTGTGGACATCAATTCTGGTGAAATCGATTAACGGAGTACCAAAACTTTTCACCAACTCTGACAAAAGTAAAGGTGCGCGCAATGTTGTCCAAGCAGAAAACTGAAGAGCAGGCAATTCCCAGGTACAATTCATGTTTACTACCAAAACGTGTGTGGTCTGCGTACTAAGCTGTCCATCCTTGCTCAAGTGGCGCCTTCTTGCGAAGATCTGGACATCATTGTTTTCACTGAATTTTCCTAATCGCCATATACATAGTCGATAGAACATCAGCAACTAGTAAATTTCAGAGAGGTGAAGGAGTATTAATCATGGTTTGCCAAAAAATCGGTAGTTCAATTATTCCAACATCTTGTCATCTTTCTGAACACATCTTCGTTCATCTTACATTCTTGGCTATCCAGGATGAGCCGCATCTCCGTCAATTGTACTGATGGAGCCATCTTGCTGAGGCCTTCTTCAGAGCTACACTGCTGAAGAAGGCCACAGCAAGATGGCCGAAATGTCAGTACTATTGACCAAGACACTGCTCATACCGGATAGCCAATAATGCATTGACTCCGGCAGCAGAAGCCTACGAACTCCTTTGTTCATCTTAAATATACTCATCTTGATATGATAGTTGTTGCAACATACTTTCCACCCTAGTCAACTCTTGAAGCCTACTTAGAATTTATTACAAATCTTAGAACTAGTTTTTAAAAACAACCCAACATTGAAATTCTTAATAATGGGTGATTTTAATTTACCAAATACATTATGGTCAACCTTTGATGATATTGTTCATTCGGAATTTTTAAATGTCTCCAGGACTGAAATAGATATTGGCACACAAATTCAACATACAATGAATTATATCAATTTATTACAGTTAAACAAAATATTAAATGATAATTCTAAAATTTTTGACTTAATATTTGCTTCTAATTATTCAAATGTAAGTAAATCTGACTGTCCTATTGTTCCTTGTGATTACTATCATCTAGCACTTATGATAAATATTAATGAAAGCTACGTGACACTCGATACGTCAGTCACGAAATACAATAATAACCTCGCAGACTTTACATCAATTAGTGAAGATGTATGCTCATTTGAATGGAGTAGCTATTTTGAAATTAACTCTATTCAATCATGTGTTGATTGTTTTTATAACTTCATTTATGAACTGATCGAAAAACAATAAATTGGATGTTAAGAAAGGTGTTGGGCCAGATTCAATACCAGTGAGATTATTGAAATCTTGTAATGCCAACTTGACACTCATTCTTCATGTACTTTTTGTAAAATCTCTGAACAAAGGTATCCTTCCTTGAATTTGGAAAAAAAGTTATTTAACTCCAATATATAAATCTCAGAACCGATCATACGTTAAAAATTACAGACCTATATCCATAAAGAGTGTTATTCCTAACCTTCTTGAGTCCATAATAACTAAAAAAAATAACTGAAAAATTAAAAAATCTCATCATAGAGGATCAACATGGCTTCAGACGTAATAAATCTGGCACCTCTAATTCATTAATCTTACACCACTTCATTATTGATAAAATTGATAAAAATTCTCAAGTAAATGTTATATGTATGGATTTTGCTAATGCTTTCGACACAGTAAACCATGAATTACTTACACTAAAGTTGTCAAATTTGGGCATTCACGGTAGTCTTTTGCAGTGGTTGAAAAACTATTTGTCTGATAGAATATTGAATGTTAAATATTTATCATTCTTATCCTGCAACATAATTGTACCATCAGGAGTACCCCAAGGTTCTCACTTGGGACCCTTTTTATTTTTATTATTTATTAATTTATGTGAAATTATTTCTTTCAAATTGCATGTTTTTATTATTTGCTGACGACTTAAAAATCTATAGAGAAATTAATACTGTTAATGATTGCAAACAACTACAGGAGTGCTTGAATAGTCTTATAAATTGGAGTAAATCGAATCAATTAAACTTTAATATAAATAAGTGCAAAGTGATGAAATTCACAAAACACAGAAATATAGTTGACCATGAGTATTCTATTGATGGAGTGATACTCGGGTCTGTCAATGAAATAAAAGATCTTGGAGTTAATTTTCGATCCAAAAATGAGATGTGATAGACATATAGATAATATTGTAGATAAAGCTAATCATATGTTAGGATTGATTATGGGAACTGCAACTGACTTTAGAAACCCTTCTACAATTAGAACTTTGTATTTAACATTATTGCGACCAATACTTATGTACTCTTCATAAAACTGGACTCCTTGTTATGATGTATACAAAAAGAGAATTGAATAAGTACAACATAATTTTTTTAATTTAGCAGCTTGGTTTCTTAAATTACCATCCAAGATTAAACCACGATTACAGTGATATTTCACCATATCTTCAAATTAGTTCCCTCCAATCCCATAGAAAATGTAATGACATCTTATTTCTATTCAAATTAGTAAATCATGATATTGACAGTAGTAAACTATTATCTACCATCAATTGGAAAATACTGTTGTGTAACCCCAGATTTCGTCAAAATGATACATTTTTTTATACCGTTCGCGAGAACTAATTTGGGTTATTATTCTCCTATATGGTGTATGTGCAGAAACTATAATATCTGTGATATCGACATAAATTGTATCGGTGTTAGTAAATTTGTTAATTAAACAGTCACATTATCTCTGTGATTACAATTAAAATGTATTTTTATATTTTCGTTATTTTTAATATCAAATTATAAATATTGTATAAACCTGTAATATTGGGCAATTGCCTGTTTAGAGGCAAATAAATAAATTATGGAAGGGGGAAAAGGAGGCAAAGAAAGACTACACTTGGAACAGTGGTTTCAAGCATTCCTTGATGAAATAAATATCCCCAAATTTCTCTCATTTATGAATTTGATGGCCTTTGTAGTCAGTCCACGCAATCAATGGAATATTACCGAAAAGGCCTGATAAGCACTGCAGTATAACATTTTTATATTCAATAAATTGCATTCTACCAGTCTTCCATGATTACCAGGGGGAATGAGTGCTTTATCAAAAGCTTTTGCCTTTTTCTTTAGCTGGCGTCAATAGCCGAATTGCTTAACCATGCTCTGTGATGTCTCAGATGTTAAGCAACTTGGCACTTGGCTTCCTGGATGGGAGGCCATCTGAGAACCCGAGTGATCTATGGTGCTGAGCCTCTGGCTTAATGGATAAAAGGAATGACTGACAAGCGTATTGGAAAATTACTCCCACATTAGATGTCAGTATTGTGAGAGAATGTTACAAAAAATGTAACAGAAGTGAAACGTCTGTGAAAATTCTATGGCTGTTGATATATAAAGGGTTTGGCTCTGGACAGCCCTCTGCCATTGTGACTTCGTTCTGAGAAATAAGATGATGTTTCTTTTCCACATTCCTCACCATAAAGTTAAGAGCAAATGCTTTCTATTTTTATGATGTGCCGAGAATCTTGTACACCATTCTTTTAATTATTTTTTTTCAATACCCTTTTAGGCGTAACTTCTAAAATTTCATCTGGCTTGAATTTGGCAGTTTTGGAATGGCTGTGTTGAACATAGTTTCCAAATTTATTATGTCTCTGGCAGTATAAAATTGTGTTTTTCTAGTTTCATAGATGTGCCTGCTTATTTTTCTGATGATGATGATGATGATAATAATAATAATAATAATAATAATAATAATAATAATAATAATAATAATAATAATAAATATATGAAATAATATACAAATTCTAACTTGTGTAGCATTCAACTGCGTAAATTGCAAGCAAACGACTGAAGGCTAGCAATCTTTATTTCAAATAGGTTTTGAAGAACTTCTTAAAGATTAATTTGTAAACGTATAACAAAAGTTCCAATGTAAGAAACGAACAAAAAATATGATATTCGCAATTCTATACACATTCTAATGTATGTAGTATTAAACTGTCTCAAAAAACCAAAAAGTACAACTAAGAAGTGCAGTATTTTCAGAGCATTCAACTAACTTTGATTCCCAACTACTTCAAAAATACTCCTTGTTTCGAAAAATTGCTGAAGATCTCTTTTGAAAATCTGTTTTTGATGAACATATTTCATTAAGAAAAATAATTCTAATTTCATAATGTAGTTGTATGAAGACGCCTAAAAATGTTTACGTTTTTTCAGTTGTCGAAAAAAATCAGGTTTTTCAGCTAACATGAGACCTGCACCATTTTCATAAATGTCCTTTAGACTATCCACCAACAAAATTTCATCAAAAACGGTGAAGTCGTGTTCGAGAAAAAAATGTTTAAGCATAAATTAAAAATTGTGTAATTTCACACAATATTTCACGAAAAATACTCAAATGTTCGAACAATTGTGCACGACTGTACACGTAGGCTTCCGCGGCTCGAGTTCATGACTTCTAGGCTGTCCGGGTGACGCTGCGACGTTGGCAGATAAGCCGACGTTTCGCCTATCATGTCGCGGGCTTCTTCAGGGTAGTGACACAGTAAAGCTCCGCCTCCGGTGTTATATCTTATTCAGCCTAGGGGCTCGGGTAACGCTAGTGCGTCGTGATTAGCAAAGAGGTCCCTCTGATTGGCTCGCGGTCTGGGCCTACCCGGGCCTCGCACCAGCCGTCAGAGAGATCGGACGGTGTTGAACAGCCCTCGCGCAGTCAGGAATAGGTGGAAGAACATCCTTCCAGGCGTGGTTTAGATTAAGGCCTGCATCCGCGTTGATGTTGTGCGACCGTCTCCTAATTTCTAGGCCAGTATCGGTTTTCACTGTGCAGGAGCCGGGTCTTATCAAATTCAATGGCATGTCCAATGACCTCGGAGTGGATTGCTATGACCGAACGGTGGGTTTGGTTTTTGTTGTAATAACTAATGTGTTCCCTAAGTCGTTCAGACACTGCGCCCGGTCTCACCGACATACGTTCTGCCACAGCTGCAGGGAACTTCGTATACGCCTGCCGCCTGGAGAGGTGGTAAAGCGTCTTTAATGCGTACCAGGGTCTTGTGCAGTTTCTCGGGTGCCGTGAAAACCGTCCGGATGTTGTTCTTCCGTGGTAGTTTTCCCACGCGATCTGTGACGCTGCGGACGTACGGAAGCACGGCTAATCGAGTACTGGTCGTCTAGCGGCCAGTCGTCGGCCTATCTGCCAACGAGGCGACGTCACGCAGACAGCCTAGAAGCCAATTGTGCATGACCTTATTTCAAAATATATCTTCACGGAACAGATTTCATGAAGGGGGAAAATCTATATCTTTAATATTTTAATTGTAGGAAGTCGCCTAAAAATATTTGGAAGTTTTCCAATTTTCGAAAATGCAGAGTTTTTAACCAACATGATACTTGCCCCATTCTCTTACATGCCCATAAGACTATCCAACAACAAAATTTACTCAAAATAGATGACGCCATTATTTTGAAACTGTTCCATGAGCTTAATGTAAAGTACCTCCCAAAATGAAAATATCAGTTTCAAATTCAAGGAGCCGCGACATCAGCCAGATCAATCGGGGAATATCAATTTTGGAGAAAATCGGCTGTACGGTTTAGCAGCTAGCGTTGTTCACAGACGGACAGTTTTGCCGTCAATTTTTGGATATCAAGGTCCCGCAAAACAGATTCTGGCTACACCACAGTGTTGGAGGATTTTTTCGCGCATAATTACATAACTTTCTCTTTTTAAGACATTCCTTCTTAAGTGTGAGAAAGTAAAAACATAAGTACAACATTACAAGAAAATAAGCTTTATTATTCATCAGTTATGTTAATTTACACCTAGCTACAACGGAATCAGAGCTCAACAATTAGTATCAACATTTAACCCAAAGGTGGCCACAGTATGAAATTTCTGCTCCCCGATAGAAATATAGTAACAACGTTTGCGTTTTTGAATGTTCTCACTTCTGTAAAGTTTTTCGTTAGCGGATTTGTAGTATGTGCGAATCAAGGAGAGGTTCCGGGTTCGATCCCCGTAGAACGTCATGTGGAAGTTGTTACGATAAAAGGAGTTTGCATGCTTCACAGGGGCCAGTCCTACTCCTGTGAAGCATCCTATTCCTTCCCAATTCAGGCCGATGGGTAGATGACGCAGGAGCACGTAATATATAGGCATGCTATCTGGCGGTCCTCTTGACAACTGACTGAGACAAGGCGTGACGTGACGTGACGAACTACGTATTGTAATGTAATTAAGTATATTAATTAATGGAGGATTACTTCCGTGCAGCAATTAATAGAGGATAACTCCAAAAGCCCGAAGCTCTCAACGCCCCCACAAGGGGATTGCGTCCACGTTGACGAAAAAGTTTTAAAAGAGTATAACGTCTTCGCATTTTGTAGTTTGTTTTCTGGAGGTCGAACAAAGGACGTGGTGATGTTTACTTAGATCGGGACGAGCTGTTAAGATTTTTTCCGGAAAAATAATCATTGTTGTGCTTTAAGTTAAGTATTTATTGTTGAAAACTTTACTATAATAACTAAGTCAAACTTATAATATTTGAAAACTCATTAGCGTCAGCGGCTTTGAATATCAGTTTTATTTTCGAGGCATGAAATTTCATACCGTGGCCAATAAAGGAAACTTTTGCCAGTTTACAGGGGAAACATTCCAATAGATGCTGTCGAAGCAGTTGAAGCTCCGATGAAAAGAACTTCATTCAAAAAATGTATTTTTTGTCAATTGTGAAAGAATTTGCGTTTTTTAGCTTTCTCGAAGGCTGGAAGTTTGAAATGTATGATAGTTTCTTCTTAAATTCCTTCAAAAGGTAGCGAAACTCAATGCTTGAAACGTGGCGCCAAATTTCTGTTAATTTGGCCGCCTGTGTGCCAACATAAGCAATTTTAGTACTTGGTGGTGCTACATATGTGTAACGCATAGAACTGCTTAGCTCAATCTTCAATTGTAACGTTGTGTTCCCAGCAAGAGAAACTTCTTTCAAATGTTTACTTGGCAGGCCTATACATTTATGTCAATTTTAGACAGTCAATTCTAACAAATTTTAAGTTAACAAACGGGTATTTTTTAGTGTTATCAATGTTGTGGGGATGCCTTGCCTCCCTTGCCTTCTGAAAATCCGCCATTGGCTATAACTCCCCACGTTTCCTTGTTAGGTTCGAATATTATGTAGCGGCTAAAGAAATAAGACAACTGAACCATACACGTGGAACTAGTGTTATAGCGAGAGTGTGCTTCGGATTTCTGCCAGAAAATAGTATTATTTGCAGATACAATTTTTAATAGGACTGCCTTACTTAAAAATTTGAAAGATAAACAGTAGTACGTTTTTGGTACCAAAAATACAGAGTGATATGACACCACTGAATGATTTAAAGATGGAACGATTTTCTCGCCACACTCTTCTGGACCAAGAATTTGGCATAATGCTTGTCTGATGGCATGACAACAGACAAGTGTCTATTGCGTCACAGAGCAAGAAGTCTGACTTTGCAGAAGATATAGCCAAGCAAAGAAACGGAGGATTTCTGCCTGGCTTGGTAAAATAATTCCATAAATCAAATGAGTGGTGTCGACATAGACTCCGAAGTCTGTATAAAATCCGAATCCAAAACAAGAGGTGATCCTACTTTATATTCTGCTTCTGCCTCAATGGCGCGATTGGGAATGCTTGGTTTTCATACACACGCATTGATAAAGATATGCGTCTTCTTGACATTACCGGAAGGATAGTAAATGCCATTCTTTAAACATCGGGAATACAGAAAATTCGAGGAGTGCGACCTAAAAGCTATAAGTAGATAGAGGAAATTCGTTATGACAACGTAGGACACTTACACTTAGGCTTCCGCGACTCGAATCCATAAATTCTCGGCTATCCCGGAGACGCCGCGTCATTGGCTGGGAGGCCGACGTTTCGCCTGACGTTCGAGAATTTAACGTAAGACACTTGCAAATAGAGAAAATGTACTGAAAAAGATTTGCACAAGGTTCCATGGATTCTAATTTTCAATATATAGATTTCTATTAATCTTTTCAATTGTGCGAAATTTATTTATTAGATATAGTAGGAAAAAATCCATTTGTTTTGGTGTCGGACCCACAATTTTTTTCTGTAAAAAATCTCTTGCAGCTTTACAACACATTCTTTGTAATTACTTATAGTAGAAAGTCTTGTACTGTATTTTAATATTTTGCTTGACATTTTGTGCATGTTTGGAAACATTATTATACAAACATTAACAAAATATAGTATTTTGAACTACAAAAGGTTGCTTGTTTGTTTTTTAACATTAAACACACTGTACAATGACTATTAAAATAATTTTAAAAAATTGTTTGTTTGTTTTTCCTTAGGTTGGATTTGGCAAGAATGGAACTTTATTTGCCATGGAATCTGGAAGAGTTGTATTTAGTTGTGAAAAAATTGACCCTAAGTGGGAGCATACATGGATCGAAAGAATTTATGCTGGGCGTGTTGGTCAGACAATTTACAAAAAGTTTGTTAATATAATCCCTGATAAGCAGCACAACAGATTTAAACTTATTGATCAAGTATAATTAAATTATATTGTTCATATTTGTTATGAAGTTGTTACAATCAAATAGTATTTAGAGAGAAATCTTCCAACCGATTGACATTTATAACTTACCTTTGTAGAAATTGTGTTCAAATTACTTTTATACAAGTTAGTGTCTATTTTTTAGCACTGTATAAGCAAGGAGTGAAGATGAAATACTTGATAAATAATGGATTAGATTTTTCCTGTTCATCTTCTTACAAGTGTTCTAATCTTGTTTGTGATGTGTTTAGTCAATAAAAGTATAATGTTTTGTTTTTTACTTGTAAAAAGGGAATTTTTCACAACACAAAGTTCTTATGTAATAGATTTGAATACAAATGTGAAATAAAAGTCAATTGCCATTTCATTATGAAGGCATTTGTCATCAACCTCTTAGGCATACTGGAGGCCTATTCCTGGTTGTATAGAATGGCGCAAGGAATCGGGAAATTTTGAACGTTACAATTGGCAACATTGTAAAACCGGCAGTTCGAAAATTTGGCACACTTATTGTGAACGCATTGTCATTTAGTAATCGTGGATCATTGAACTGGTGCAGAACGTGCTGTAGCTGTGAGGGCGTTTTACAAAAATGGTAATAATGCGACTGCCGCGCAGAGAATATTCCGAGAGTATTAACAGCTTGGACATGTCCCATATGTGCAAGTGATTACAACCTGGGTGCGTAATTTTGAAAAAAACAGGCTCTGAAAGAAAGCCAGGTGGCGTAACGCAAAGAACATTGCAGCTGTTGGAGCTGCCATCGAGAGAAGTCCTCGCCGCACCGTTTGACTGCAACCTTCTCGCAATATGTTGATATGCTTCAAATATCCTTCACACTGAGACTGTACGATCTTAATCTTAAAATCGAAAATATGTGGTTTCAGCTGGACGGAGCCACGTCACACACTGCTCGACAGTGGCGGCAGGTGCCCCAACAGACTGGAGGTTGCACCTCCATGGAATGACGGAAATGTAATTTCAAAATACGAATACATGAGTGGATGATAACAGAACGGTATAAGTAACATTTTATAAATTCTGAGAGATGTGTTTATTTAATTCAGTACTACTGTAAAGGCGGGTTCTTTGTTTCGTCATTAAAATCACGGCATTTCAATTGTTTATTAAAATCATGACAAAAAATTCCACTGAAATGTAGCCTAAAATAAACACGTTTTCACAAAATGTATAAAATGTCACTTGTACCGTGTGGTTTTCACCCATTCATATAATAAAAATATAAGCAATTCAAGTATATTAAGTCTATATTGAAACATAAATTTTATGCGTCGTGTAAGGTGTATGCACCTTCAGCGCACATGATTTTGGCGTTGATTCCCTCTAGGCACTTAAGTTAGACTCCACCACATTGCAAGAAGCAGAATTGCTTCGACATTTCTCACAAATAAATTTTTTATTTCGAAAACTACACTTCTCCGGTGTATATGACAATGAAAGATCTTCGACACACATTGGTATTCACGGAAACAAATTCTCCAAATACAAACAATGCACTGATTGACGTCGATAATTGACTGAACTTGTGTACTTCCAGTAACAAGCGAATTTCATAAAATTACTTGCAGCGAGTCTGACGAAGATGGAATTTGGGGTTCTCTTGAGGTCGTCTCGCAGCGCCACCAGCTGGTTGGGCAACCAAACCGGCACATGCCGCCACTGGATGGCAGCCGTTCGCCAGTTGTTGGAAGACGCGGTATTTCACGTAACGTTGACATTGCATGGCCTGCCAGAAACCCCTGATCTTAGTATGTGCGACTTCTTCCTGTGGGATATCTTAAAGGCAAGGTGTACCGTATACGTCCTGCAACAATCCGTGAACTGGAGCAGAACATTGAAAAAGAGGTCACTGCCATTCCCCAAGATTTACTACGCCCCGCAATCCAGTTTTCATCGCAGGCTATTAGAGTGTGATCGCCAAATCGAAGCACATATTTCCGATGTCTTTAAAAAGTAAATAGACACACCATGACATTTTGATTGTGAAAACAATGGCGTACTGAACACGTGCATTTTTGTTTATGAATTATTTGTTTTATGTATTTATTCATGCAAATAATGTTATTTCAAAATTTTCCGTTCTCCTGCGCTTCTTTGTACTTGGGTTTTTATAACTTGCCGCTTCAGGGTCTGTCTTCACGATGCAATATCTCGCGGAGTTTCGCGTCTTTCTCGATCGTGCCTCTAGACACATCGCACTGCTCGATACTTCACGACCATGCGATATCTAGCGGCACGACCGAGAAAAACACGAAATGACGTGAGATATTCCATCGTGAAGACTGTCCCTGATACGCCAGGTTATAAAAACCGAAGTATACGTAGTAGGCCTAGAAAGGATGTGTTAATCTATCAAGAGTTCTTATGTGATCTATTTCTTTCTTGATCTTCCTGTATTTCTCTACTGTAATGGTTTTTAGAGCGGCCTTTGGGAACATTACTTTTTTTATTCTTTTAATATGCTCTAGCCTAGATGCGTTGTCATTTTCTCTATATTTATATGAGCGTTTTCCAAATATCTTTGTTTCTCTATCAATTCAATCTAGTACACTGTCTTTAAGCTATGAATACCATGAAACTTCCATCTTTCTGAATTGTACACTAAACACTAATCACTATCGCACCAAGAAGAAATGCTATTTCAACAGATTTTGCCCTTTTCATTCATTTCCGACCGTAAACTTGTCTTCGTTTTATTTTGAAACATTTGAGATAATGGATTGAACGATAAATATTCAATGTTTAGTTAAATTACTACACTTTTTTTTTTTATCCGGCAAGCTTGCTTGTTACGTTCACGCTACTTTGGGGTTATGAGTATATGGACTGAAGATGGAAGAACAAATGTAATTTGAATGTAATCGTTGTGGAATAGATAAGTCACTATTGTTTCATATTTCCGTTCCGGATATAATTATCTCATTTTGGATGTAGCGTCTTATTCTGCACAGGATCATTGTGCAAACAATGCTTCAATGTAATTATTTTTCTTCTATAGAAATTCTGCTTATTTCAGTAATGATAGAATAAAATAAAGGTCTATATCAAGTGCTGAACTTATTTCAGTTTTGGAGGAAGATGTTGACTATATTACTGCAAATATGATTGATGATGTGTACGTTCGTTGGAAAATATAAACGATTTTCTCAAAGAAAAAGAAGATGAAGAAGAAAAATTGATTGACATCGTAATGGTCAACGCATGAAAACTATTGCAAATGAAGAAAAATGTCTTAACTATGATTTCTCTCCCTTAGCCACAACTAATGAAATCTGAAGACAGTGCAAAAGAAAGTGAAAGCTGTAATGAGTCCATGACACACTATACCCAAAGAAAAACGTTATGATGATGTACGAATACCAACCGGAGGCTCAGGGCATCAATTAGTGTCACAGCAGTGCCTCTGGCCCGGAGGTCCTAGTGTTTGAGTCCAGAAAATAGGCAGGATTTTCGACTCTAGCTACGTAGCTAGGACGTGTTAAGCCGACCTCTGGAGGACGATTGGAGCTCCTTTAATCTTTTTTTTTTTCCCCTCTTGATTTCTCCGATCAACACCAGGCAAATGCTGGAGTAGTACCCTAAGCCACGGATCGCGATATTTCCTTCTTCATCATTGTCCTATCCTCCTTAATTTGCACACACGTACACTTTCTTCCACTACGCCACCCATGCCGGGAGACAGGTCGGGAGCTTAGAGCTGGTTCCTTCTGGGGCGGTGGCGCGCTGGGGGAGGTGCCTCGTTGACGAAAAAACCAGCAAGCCGACAGATAACTCGCTGTCGGATCTCCGACAAAATTGCCGACATCGCCAGCGGTAAAATATACACTACACTTATGGGATTAATGAAGTTAGCCGTTGACGCGCACGGCAGTGCCGTGTTAACGCACGGGCGCTAATGCTTAAGGGGGCCCCTGTTTAAGAAAATATTGAATGCTACATTTTTCAAAAAATAAAATAAACCGTGAAAAAAGTGATATATGATTAAACTATACACAAAAAATTAGCATAAAGGAGTGATGTGTGGCCCATCATTGGATAATATTTATAATATGGAATGTTGCTAGTTAATGCGAGAATGTCACTAATGAGAAGTTCAAATTTTTAACAAAACATCTTTAAATATTTTGATTGAATTTGAGTATTTAATTATTTGGAATAATTTAAATTCATTCATATGCGTGAAGTTTTCAATATTGATTAATGTTAAATTGAAATTTTCATAAATGCTTTCAAAAGATTAGAAAAATACAATATGAATTGATAGGATTTTTTAAATATATTTCAGCAAGGAAATTGGGAGGGACGGTCGGTGGAAGTAAGTAAGGATAGAAGAGGAACAATGCTGTTTAAATGGCCCTGGCGCCCAGAATTGCCAAATAATCATGATGTAGAGCATGAATTCATAAAGGGAGATACCAAAGCCAGAAGGAAGTACAGATTGTGCAAAAGCACTACAATGTACAGTTATGAACTAGCGCTGAAATTGCACGTACTTTCTCGTCTTTAATAATAGTAATGGTATTTATACCACAATTTCTCTCCGAATTAACACATCAGTCATTATTTTTTGTAAAATTCATTATAAATTAAATATTTTCAAGCAAATATCAACACAAATTTGACTATTATAACTGTTTGTATGCACGTAAATCATGTCCAAACCATAAGACGTAATTCACAGAAGTCGAAATTTGTTGGTGATGCGGTTTGTACCTAACAGACAGGAGGGGGGGGGGGGTGAATGAAGGAAGGATGCATAGACGAGAAAATTTCTGGTAAGCTGTGCACACGCCGTCGTGGATTATCCATAACGCAGAGTCTACTCCGGCAATTAAATTAGTTTCTAGAATATATTACAGATCAGTTTTGAATATTTTCCTCGTAATCTAACAGGTTGAATTCTGCATGAAGGTGACGGGTAATTTGTGAGCCTCAAAATGCCTAAATTATTTTTCAACAACAACTGCCGTTATGTGTACAATTTGTCAATATAATTTTACTGAATCGTTAAAGAAACTGAAAGGTTTTCGACTCCTTTACCGCTTACTCTTGAGGGAATCAGCAGCGCCGCTAGCTGAGCGGGGGCCCAGTTAGTGGACGGCGTCGGGGAGCGAGTGAAACACTGAGTTGTTATGTACAGATTTATTTACAAGTTTTTCAATACAATAATTACACTCCTGAGGAACTAGCACTTCCCTGAAGCACCACCGCCTCAGCCTGACAGACCCCAGCGGCTAACCTTAGCGCCGCTCCTGGCCTCCCGTCCCGTGACGGACAGCCACCCCTCGCAGCCGAAGCTACCGATAACCCCTGGCGGGTGACAAGTGCCTCCCGCACTGTGATTCG